ACTCCGTCTCGTTGGCCTTCTGGTCACAGGGGGTGGCGGGCGCTATGGGGCTCACCTAGCGCAGTCCTCGCCGTGATGGGGCCCATCTGGCACGGGCCTCACATGTCCGCCGTGGCCTAGCCCCTCGCCGCGCTGGGGAGACTGGTTGGGCCCTCGCGGAGACTCAGAGTGGGCTCTCTGCGCATCCCCGGCAGGCGCTCCAGGGCAGGCGGTGGCGTTAGCCAATGGGGCAGGCCCCCCCCCCCCTCCGCGCAGCCGCGCGCAGACCACCAATGGGGTCCTGCTGCGGGTCCTGGCCAGGAGCCTGGGGATCATCCTGGGTGGCGTTCGGTCGGGGGTCGTGGTGGCTCGGCATGGCCTTGGGCCTGGATCCGATGTCAGATCCCACCCAGTGCGGTAGCTGAACCTGCACTGAGGCTGGCGCCGTCGACGGCGCAGGTGGACTCGCCGAACCCGCGTGCGCCGCACTGCCAGCCCAGGCCCCAAAAGGGATCCGCATGTAGTTTTTTCGGGGAGAGATGACTCGTAGGACCCTTTGAAGCTGCCTTGCCCGTCGCCGTAGGTCGCTGGAGCTCGCCTGCCATCTCCGCCTCCTCCTCGAACTGCGGTTGAAGAAGGTCTGGCTCGTCTGCTTTCGCATCCAGTTGTGCGAAAGGGTCGTCCTCCCCGTCCATGTTCGAGGGTCGCACTGCTGGTGCTGCCGCCTCTGTCTCGCCCTTCTCGGTGTTAGTTTAGCTTCGCTTCTTGGGCGGTGTGGCTGTCGCTGGGCTTCGCAATGTAGGGCGCGGTTTGCCATCCAAGTCGTGTGATACATTGAGCAGCGCCCTCGCGTCCTCATGCTTATCTGCGTCAGTGTCATTGCTGCCCCCCTGAGCCTGGTCAAGTAACGCAATGCGATCGCTCAGATATCTGATCGCGCCATCGACTGTCTTCACGTTGATGTCCTTCGCATGCCTGGCCTTGAGGATCGCCAGCTCTCGCATTCTGGCTGTCAACGCCTCCCGCAGGTGTGCCTTCTCTGTCAACGCCGCGTCCAAAAATGGGTCGGTCCTCTTGGATGGTGACCTTCCGCATCGTGGTGAACTTGGGGTTGCATCCGCTTCTCACGGTGCTCTTAGGCTTGGTGTCCGTCATGAGGCAGAGCGACTGCTCTGCCGCAACTGACCACTCGCCAAAATGGTAGGCCAGTCTGCAAGCTCCTTCGGGGCCCAGTCGGTACGCCCATGCATCAGCCACCTCGTCAACAGGTTCCTGAACTGGTCGCCCTCGAGTCTCTGCAAACGCCTGGAGCCAGCGTGCATCACTGGCCGCGCCCTTCTGCTTCATCGGGTAGGTGCTCTCCAAGAGGTGGGCAAACTCGTCGTGATGAAGGCCCCCTGGCGCCGCTGCGTCGGCGCCTTGCTCAATGTTCTGCGTCAGTTTGAGATGTCGCTCACGATCTCGCCGGGCTCGCTTGAATCCTTTTTCTCGCTGGACCGCGTGGGTGGCGATCTCGATCTTCCCTGGCTGGATGGGCGTCTGCGCTTTGACCGACGCTGGTCAAGAGTGCAGTCGCAGGTGAAGCCCCACACGCGGGCTCCATGGCACCTCCCTCGCCCGCCTGTTTGAAATCTTCCACGAACGGTCCAACGTCTCTCGAAGCGATGCCGTAATCAATGAGCCTGCCCTTGCCCGTCGCGCGGGTGACGGTGCAATCACTGGGGATCAGCGGCTCTCCCCGTAGAGCTTTCAACCGCGGCGAGGTGTGGCATCTCCGTCGGGGTGTTATTCCAATCACCTAGTGCAATTCATGGTACTCCCAAAGGCATCACCACACGACTCAACTGCGCCATCTTGGATACATTGGCCGGATCATCCAGCCCCGCGCTGCAGCCCGGGCGCGCCGAGATCAGCGCCAGCGTCGCCACTTTCAGGCGCCGGAGGATGATCGAGATGTCTCGCAGTTCTTTCTGGAATGCGCTTTGCCCGGCGCCGTCGGGCAAGTGTGCGGACGTGACGTGGCCTGCTCTGGCAAGCCAGCACGTCCCCCGTGAGTGCCAGACGTGCCCCTCTTCGTCGGTGTAGCTGGCGTCCATGTGAACTGCGATTGCCACCCCCTGAATCGCAGCTTCTTGGCCTCCTGCTTGGCGGCCTTGGGTAGCAGGTGGTGCTCCGCCAGGCCAATCGTGTCAAAACTGCAGTGCTCCACGCAGTGTCGCACCTCCTCCCCGTAGTGCGTGACATTTGCGAACAGCACGTCCAGATAGCCACTCTTCATCCTTGTGGGTCTTGACTGCTCCTGCGACGAGTCGGCGCGGTTAGGGGCAAGTTGCGCCGCTGCTGGCGACGCCCTTGGCCCTGGCACGCAAGGCCGCCGTCTGCGAGATGTACTGGTCCACCTCGGCCGCATTGGTGAAGTCCACCGACGCGTGGTCTCCTGCGCCTGGCCCTTGGCTGTATCAGCTGCCTGAGCCTGACCGCCTTGCCCTCGCCGACGCTTGATATATTGGTGTGCCGAGCGCAATCGTTCAGCTGCCTCTCGCGCCGCCTTGCCCGCGTCTGTGGCTGACTTGAGCGCGGTGCGAGCCTTCTGGTGAGCTGTCGATGCCTCTTCATACTGCTTGCGTGTGGTCTCGTCGAGGGATGCAGCTCTTCTGCCCCCAACTCTGGGAACTCTTCGTCATCTGCTTGCTGTGCCTGCTGCGCCTGCCGAGCTTCCGACTGGGGTCCTGCCGCCTGCGTTTTGCCGACGAGCCCGGCGCCGCCAAACACTCATCGATGTTGGTCCTGAGCTTGGTCTGGAGGTCCTTCTGCGTCTGCGCAGCCTGGATGCGTTGATCCTTGATCCGCCCTTGCTGGGCCTGCAGCTGACGCAGCTGCTGGGCCTTCTGGGCCAAGCGCTCCTCAGGCGTGGCCTCGGGCGGCGGCTTCCACTCGGCCACCAGGGACGGGCAGACAGCCAAGAGTTTGTCCTGGGTCTCCTTGTCGCCGTCTGACTTAGCCTTGCTGAATTTGGCAACAAGACTTCCAAGGTCAGGTCTCGGGCCGATCCGCTTCCCTTGGGGCAGGAGCGTAGGGGCAGGCTGCCACCCCCCTCCTCCCCCTGGTCGAAAGCGACGAGCGCGCGGGCTGGATCTTTCCACAGACGCCCGCACTCTCGGCAACCCTCCCACCCCGTCTTGCCTGCTTTGTGCACAAAGACCAAAGAACGAGGGCAATTAGGACACACCAGATATTCGTTCTTCCGACCACGGCTGGCCGACCTCGGGCGATCATGTCTACCTCCTTTGGCCATCCGAGGCCTCACGCGCAACTTCCGCCGCCCCTGCTGGGCGCCCCTCAAGCCGCGGGCGTGCCTGGCCGTCCCGCGCGCGCGGGACACCGTCACACGGTACGCGTGCGCGTATGCGGGTCGGGGCCTTCCCCCCAAAAGGCCCGACCAAGAAAGGCTTGAGAGGAGGAGGAGGAGGAGGAGGAGGAGGAGGAGGAGGAGGAGGAGAGGGGAGGAGGAGGAGGAGGAGGAGGAGGAGGAGGACGAGGAGGGTAGCCCGGATGCAAGAGGGGGGGCGCGGGAAGGCAAGGCGGCCGCGGAGAGAGCGGGCTGGCATCGGAGCGAGCGCCGGCGGAGGTCGGGGAGCAGGCGGCGTGCACAGCGGGGTGGCGCGAGGGGCTTGGCCTCCTGAGGAGGCGGGGGGGGGGGAGGAGAAGGAGGAGGAGGAGGAGGAGGAGGAGGAGGAGGAGGAGAGGAGAAGAGGAGAAAGAGGAGGAGGAGGAGGAGGAGGAGGGGGTCGAAGAGGGCTTCCGAGAAGCCCCTGGGCCTCTCTGCTAGGGAGCCGCCTGCCTTCGTAGACCCCATCCCTTCTCAGAAGGCCGCCCTCCTCGCGCGACCCCCGTGTGCGCCCAAGGGCGACGACGAGACGGACGTGCAGCAGCAGCAGCAGCACCAGCAGGAGGCCGAGGGTGGAACTCGACAGACACAGAGCAGGATTGCACCACATATTATACTGATGATGAGTATGATGATGAGTCTGATGATGATGATGCTGATGACGACGATGACGGTGACGATGATGGTGATGGTGACGATGCTGTTGGTGACGATGATGATGATGAGGATGATGATGATGATGATGATGATGATGAAGATAACGATGATGATGCTGATGATGATGATAATAATAATGATGATGATGAAGATGCTGATGCTGCTGATGATGATTATGATGATAAGGATGATGAGGACGAGGAGGAGGAGGAGGATGAGGAGGAGGAGGGGGATGATGATGATGAGGAGGACGAAGAGGAGGAGGACGAGGAGGAGGTGAACGAAGAGGAGGAGGAGGACGAACACAAGATGTAGCGGATAGGAGAAGAGGGGGTGGCGGGTGAGCGGGCCACCAGCAGTCTGCGAGGCTCGAAGGCAAATCTGAAGAAGCCCACCGTAGGCTCCGATTTTTTCACATCACACGTCGAGCCCGCCGCAGGCGCCGAACTTCGCGTCAAAGCGCGGGCGCGTCGCGGGGCGGGTTGCGGGCAACGACGGTCGCAAAAAAAATAAGAACGACAATCCGCACCGCTGCCGCACGCGTGGACTTTTTCACATCACACGACGGGCCCGCCGCAGGCGACATTTCTCGTCCGAGCGCGGGCGTGCCGCGGGGCGGGTTGCGGGCGACGACGATCGCAAGAACAACAAGACAACGACCATCCGCAGCGCGGAGCCTCACTGCAGACACGCCGTGCCAGACCGTCTGGCCCCCTCACTCTGACACTGTTTAGATGGATGTTTTCTTCTTCGGCGTTTCGACATTGGGCGGAACAGGGGGAGGGAGGGGAGGTGTCTGGCTCCGGACCTCTGCTTTATGCGACTGTTTGCAGCAGTGCGTCCTATGTGGGGAGACCCCACCTGCTCGGAACGGGCGCGCAAAACAGCCAAGATCTACTCCACGTGGGGGGGGAGGGGGGGGCGAGGGCCCGCGCCGATCGGCAAAATAATGAATAAGAAAACGATCGCCAGGAGCAGATAACGTCGGCCTCCAACTTCGCCCTGCTCACCTCGTCGAGCAAGTACAGCGCGTGCCGCCACTGGCGGCACTTCTCGCACGCGGAGACTGCGGTGTTGAAAGCGACCTGGAGTGAGCCAATGGACAAACGGACTGCGCGACAAGGCAGAACCGAATGCGGACCCTCCCTGAGACGACGCCAGGACGAGGATAAAATCGGGTGAAGAGAAATCGGGAATCTCTGATCCAGCGGCTCTGGAGGACGTCTCGGGCGCCGCGGCCTTCTCAGAGCGTTCCGGAACGCTCTGAGAGCGTTCAATAACGCACTGGAACGATAAAAAAGACAACGCCATAAACAACAACTTTTGGCGCTCCGCGCGGATCTCTTGGATCTGCGCTGGACCCCCCTCCCTAGCGCGCGGAGCGCGCCAGGGGCGGCGACGGAGGCGCCGCCGGGAGGGGGGGCGCAGCGCGGATCCAAGAACTCCGCGTGGAGCGCCAAACATTAATGCTTATGGCGTTTTTTCTTCGAGATTTGTCCTCGCCCTGGCCCCGTTCAAAAGCAGCTTGTGTGTGTGTGTGTGTGTGTAAAAATCTTAGGTCGGGCATGTCTCCCTACAGGCGGATTTCGGACGAAGAATTCAACAATAGTCCGACCACATCTAAAAATGACCAACAAATGCTCGAAAAATCGTCCCCATACTATTTTTGGACTAGTTTTGGATATTCCTCCTGTAGAGGGACAGGCCCGACTCAATTTTGGAAACCCGAGGCGGTGTGGTGACAGACCGCGGTGGCCTCGAGATCCCCAAGCACCTCACCGCACGGCCCGTCACCGCAGGCTTCGCGCGGAGCTCCGACAGCTGATGTCTACGCAGGCTTTCCATCTTCTTCTTCGACGGCAAGCATCGTGAACGCAGGATGTTCGTTGCAGTGGCCTGGGAATCTTATGGGGGTCCTCTCGGATGCCGTCTGGGGCCGTTCCTCCTCCTCCTCCTCCTCCTCCTCCTCCTCCTCCTCCTCCTCCTCCTCCCCCTCCTCCTCCTCCTCCTCCTCCTCCTCACTCCTCCTCCTCCTCCTCCTCCTCCTCCCTTGTCGGCATCTGGGGGCCCCCTGCGTGTGCACTCGGGGGGCACACTGGGGCTCTCTCGGGGCTCCTCGCCAGGGCCGACGGAACAGGCTCCCGGTGCCGTGGCGCGACCTGCGGCGCGACGGAGGCGCACTCGGAGTGATCGCTGCCGACCTCTCCCAAACGCTCTGGGCCTGGCACTTTCGCTCGAGGCCCCATGAGATCCGATGGTAAAAAAAAATTGGAGCGGGTGGTTTTTGGCAATTTTTTTCTGCCTCTGGGGGCCTTCGTCGGGCCTCGGGAGCGTCCAAAAACGACTCAGGGCGAAAGACCGGCCCTGGGGAAGTGGTCCGGACCTTTGGGGCGCACGTATCGGAAAAATTGGAGCAGCTGGATTTCTGGGATGACGTCGGGCTCCAACTTCGTTTCCCGCATCTCGCTGAGCAGCGCCATGGCCTGCTGCCACTGCCCGCCTTGCTCGCAAGCGCGGATCCCAATGCTGTAGCTCACGACATTGGGCTCAAGGTTCGCTTCCCGCATCTCGCTGAACAGTGTCAGGGCACGCTGCCACTGCTGGCCTTTCACGCACGAGCTGATCCCAGCGCTATAGCTGACGATCTCAGGCTCCAACTTCGCCTCCCACATGTCTCCGAGAAGTGCCACAGCTCGTTGCCACTGCTGGCTTTTATCGCACGCGCTGACCGCAGCACTGTAGCTCACGGCGTTGGGATCCAACCTCGCCGCCCAGATCTCGCTGTGAAGCACCAGAGCCCACTGCCACTGCTCGCCATTCCCGCAAGCGCTGATCCCGCTGTTGTAGGCTACATGTGTGTACCCGGGCGACTCCACAGTCCACTTTCTCATCTAACATGGTTCATTCAAGTGACATCGCAGCAGTCCTTTCGGGGCAACTTGTGTTGTCTTGGGTCGAGTTAGGCTTGGCGAGGGAGTGGCCAGAGGCCCCTTGAGATGCCTGTGGCGTGTTGCAAGGCATCTTGGCCTGTCTGTGTAAGTGCTGGCTGTCGTCGAACACGTGGTGGTGTTGCTTGCTGCTGTTGCTCGCTTTGATGATGCTGCTTGCTGGTGTTCTTTGCTGATGCTGCTGCTAGCTCATTCTGCCTGCCGCTGCTTGCTTGCTGTTTGCTGCTTGCTGGCTGCCCCTGGCTGCTGCTGCTGGCTCTGCTGCTGTTGGGGGGATGTATCGCGACATGTCTGGAACCTTTGGACATTTTGAGTCTGCTTGTGGCGTCGTGCAGCTAGGAGCCTCCTGAGCTGGATGAGGCACTCTCGGACTGGCCAAGCAGTGTCTTGGCTGGCGCCTCTTGCGGCCTCGTTCTTGGGGCCTTCCTGGGCTCTCTCTTCAGGCCCTCTTTGGAAGGCTCGCGGGGCTATGTTGGGGCCTTTGGGGGTCTGGGCAGTCGGGGGCTTTGAAGGGGCTCTTGGGGCCATCTCGGGTCGTGTGCCGTCTTGGCGCTGTCCATCTTGGAGGCCAGCCAGGGCCATCAGAAGCTATCTTAAGGGCGTCTTCGGCGTGTCTGGAGGTTCTTGTGGACTTCTTGGACCCTCTTGGAAGCGTCTGGACCGCTTCCCGAGGATTTCTGAAGCCATCCAGCGAGAGCTGGCAACACGTAAAGCTATCCAAGATGCGTCGGCCCAAGAAACACAAGGCGTGTCAGAATTTCCGGAAGTAGTTTCAGAATATTTCTAGTTCGTGCTAGACCCCTGGGGGTTCCTAGAGGAGAAGTACCCCGACAGGGTCCTGGGCAGGTCCCATCAAAGATTGCTTTACTCCTGGATGCGGCCCTCAGGACCCCTAAGGCAGCCCCAGTAGCGCCTCAAGGGAGCTCCAAGAGATCCCACGAGCTACCCAATAGCAGAAATTTATCGGTAGCAGGCCGCAACTTGACCCGCCCCAATATAGCCTCAAAGTGGCTCAGGGTTGTCGAAGACAGCCACCAAGAGGCCTAAACCATCCACGCCGCTGATCTCCACGAGGCTCCCAGAAATCGCCCTGAGACGCCGGGATGCGCGACGCTTTCGGTAGACGCGCAAAACAAAGCCAGAATCCTGCCAGAGACTCCCATGAGACTCCCACAAGCCCCCAGATGTTTCTCGCAGAAATCCCCCGACCGATGAGAACGACATACAGTCGGGCTGCTGAAAGAAGGAACGCTGAATAAGGAACGAAGCCCCTTATTGGCCCTGTAAGCGCCTCCGTGCCCCAGGAGGGCAAGAGGAACAGCACTGGAGGAACCTAAGGAAGATCGAGCCCCTTCCGAACCCAAACTGTTCCTTATTTCAGCGTCTTGACTGTACTTGCCCATATGTTACATATACAGATTCTTCGCTTCTCGTACGTTTGGGCCCCGATGCAGAACTTGGGCTAGCCATCATATGGGACCACAAGTTGACAATCTGAGGCGGCTCCATAGACTCATCGCTCGTCGTTTCGCATTCGCATGTCTGGCACATCCTGGCCTCGCCCTCTTACCTGCATGGCACTCCCCAGCGCAGCCGGATGCCAACAGTGACGCAGGATGGGCCAGCAGACTGAGCGAAGCAGTCGCACACTCCGACGACGTGCTGCTGCCCTCGGGGCCTCTTCTCGGGGCTGCCTTGGTGCCTCTTGGGACCGAGGAGGAGGAGGAGAGGAGGAGGAGGAGGAGGAGGAGGAGGAGGAGGAGGAGGAGGAGGAGCAGGAGGAGGAGGAGGAGGAGGAGGAGTAGGCCCAACTGGTGCCGTCCAGGGGCGTCTCGACCCGTCTGGGACGCTGGGCGCCTCCTGGAAACTCTCAACCATCTTGGGACATTTGAAGGGGCCCCGGGACACACAAATAAATACACACAAATTAACATATTCCCCATATTCTCTCATATTTTCTGGGTTTCTGTCTTCCCCCCCACTTCCCATATTTTCCCATATTTTCCTGGGAATCGACGATTGATTGTGTCTGTGTGTTTTTTCCTCTCCTGGACATTGCGGGCGCACCGAGGTAGGGGGTCCGGGGCCGACGGGCCCTGCCACCAGCTGGCCAACCTGTGTGCGCCCTGCTCCTGGCATCGTGTGGCAAGCTGGTGCGAAGTCCACGAGCGCATCTGCTGCCTGGTGCTGTGGGGTCGTGCTGCTGCCGATCGCTCGTGCCTGCAGGATCTGCCTGCTGCTCTCTGCGGGTGGCTTCTTGTCCTGCCTGTCGCTGCCAGCTCTGCTGCTGCTGCTGCTGCTGGCTCTGCGGCTGCCTCGCCGCGTTCGCTGGCCGCTCCACTCTCGAGGCCCTCTTGGGCACCTCCTGGGCCTGGCTTGTTTTTTGGGGAGCTTGCTGCTGCGTGCTGCTGGTGCTCGCCCCTCTTGGCTGCTGTTGCTGGCTCTGCTGCTGCTGGCTCTGCCGCTTGCTTGCTGCGGTCACCGGCTCTCCGCGGGCTCTCTCGGGGCCTCCTCGCGGGGCCCCTTGGGGCAATCTTTGGGTTCTCTTTGAGGCCTCGCCGCCACGTGCAGGTTGGCGTCCTGGGCACCCCCTCGCGCCACGGCAGCCTGCGCACGCTCGCCAGCAGCGGCAGCTGCGCCTTTGGCGCTGCCGCGGCAGCCTCGCGGGGCCCTGCTTGGGGGGCTCTCTGGGTGGCCGGGGGGGTGTCTTTTGGGGCGGTCTTGGGGCGGTCTTGGAGTCTTGGGGCCCTCGTGCGGCCGTCTCACGAGGCCAGCTGGGGCCACTCGGTGCCATCTTCTGAAAGCTTCTTGGGTGCTCCCGGGGGCCCTCACGAGACTCTTGGGCCTTCTCGGTAGCCTCTGGGCACTCCTTCGAGCCATCTGATACGAAGAGGTGGAGAGATCGAAGCATCCCTACAACAGTGAAGCGATATTCGCTCCTCAGGGGTCCTGCGCAAAGCCATCTTGGAACATCTTCGAGCCACCTTTGCGTAACATTGGGCTGTCCAGTGACGTCCTCGACCGTCTTGGCTGCTCTCGGGCACCACCTGGAGGCTTTTTCCAGCCAGCCTGGAGCTCGCGGAGCGTCGAAAGCTTATGTTTATAGCGTTTTTTTTCAATGTGTACTCAGGGTTTCTTCATAACTGTAGGGGGGGTACCCCCCCCGACGGGGGTCCACCTCGCCTCGCCGTCGCGCCGCGACGGGGGTCGGAGCGCCTTCGGCGCGCGGTGGCTGCCCGCGACGGGGGTCGATGTGGGGCTGTCAGTGGGGGTGACGCCCCCCCGACGCTTATTAAGAAACTCGGAGGAAATATTAGAAGAAGAAGAAACGCCGTAAACATGAACTTTTGGCGCTCCGCGCGGAGCGCCAAAAGAATATGCTTCAAGCGTTGTTTCTTCCTCGAGGGATGTGGCCACCCCCGACGCTCATTTTTTGTCTCCCGAAATGGGTACGGAAAAAACGGGTACAATGCCCAACAACAAGTGTTCTCCCAAACCGACAGCGGCCGCTGTTGGGCAGGCGGCCTTCTGTCTCAAATGGACACAGGCCGCGGCTGCGCGGACAGCGAGTCGGGTTCAAAATGAACAGGAACTGACGTTGGGCATTGTATTCATTCTTTCTGTACCCATTTCGTGCGTGCAGATCACTAAAAAACTCGAAGCAATCGATCAAACCGGCGGCTCGGCGGGCACCGTGGCGCGCACGCGTTGCAGCTGTGCGGTCGTTTTTCCTCTTTTGGGGGGGCTGGGCCCGCCGCTGGACACAAAGGCCGCTGGGCAAGCTGCGGTTGGGTCGGGCACGTCCTCCCACAGGCGGATTTTAAAAGAAACATCGAAGATCGTCTAGCAATTCTTACAAATAGTGGAACAACAATGAACAGTCGTCCCCTGACATTTTTGATATCAATTTTCTTGTTGAACTGTTGTGTATACATGTATATGTATATGTATGTATGTATATATATATATATATATATATATATATATATATATATATATATATAGCAATGTTTGGATCTTCCCCGTGTAGAGGGGTACGCCCGACTTGCAGCTACGGCGCGCAATGAGGCGAGCATTGTAGTCCGCCGACCCCCTTGTGGGGCCACCAGGCTGTAGGGCGAAGGTTCGCAGTTTCCTGTGCCAGTTGCAGCTTCCAAGTTTCCATTGTTACAGTTCTGCTTCTTGCTGCTTACTTTTCCTTGTTGATGGACCGCGCGAGTGGGGGAGGCCCAAACGGGCAGGTTTAGCACGCCCTGAGCGTGTGCTCTGAATTGCTGGGGTGGGTAAACATTGTCACCCCTCACGCAGATCGGCGGGGTCAGGGTCCAAAAACACATAGGATTTGCTACATTTCTGACACCCCTCACGCAGATCGGCGGGGTCAGGGTCCAAAAACATATGGGATTTGCAACATATCTGACATTCGGTGGCACCCCTCACGCAGATCGGCGGGGTCAGGGTGCAAAAACATATTGGATTTGCAACATTTCTGACATTCGGTTGCACCCCTCACGAAGATCGGCGGGGTCAGGGTGCAAAAACACTGGTTTTGCTACATATCTGAAATCCGCTGGCGCCCCTCACGCAGATCGGCGGGGTCAGGGTCCGAAAACACATGGGATTTGCCACATTTCTGAAATTCGGTGGCACCAGACCTCAAGATTTAGATTTTGCATCTCCCATTATCCGAGACAGGGGGCCGGCGGCATGGGGCGAAGCCCTTACGGATATAGATTTCTCCTCGCAGAAAATCACTGGTGACCCTGCCACATCGCGATTCAAAACGTCGCTCGGCAAACCGGGAACACCGCACAAGCCGACTTGCAATAGGCAAACTCATGCCATGAACCAGGGCCTGGACAACACATCGGGAACCACCATCGGCAGTATAGACGGTGTCGGGCTCCACCATCGCTTTCCCAATCTCCCTGAACATCAACATAGCCTGCTGCCACTGCCCGCACTTGCCGCACACGCTGATTCCCGCAACGCAGTTTGAAACGTGTGGTTCCAGGCCCGAAGCCCGCAGTCGACCATGCAGAGCCAACGCCTGTTGCCACTGCCGCCCTGCTCCACACGCGCCTGTTGCAACCGTGAAGAAGCTCGTTCTGGCTTGCATTCGCGATCGCGAGGCGTCCCGAAGAAGCTCCAGCGCAACAATCCACTGAGTTGCCCGTCCGCAATTCTTGATGCGATCGGAAAAACAAGCGGCGCTGGCAGGATTGCCGTGCTGAGCTGAACCTCGGGATAATTCCGCCATGCAGTGGTCAGATGTATGCAGCTGGCTCTCTGCATCTTGCGTGTCGCGTGGCGGTCTGGAGTCAGCACTGATACGCGCTGCGCCCAAGCGTCTGTTCAGAGAAACATCGCGCGCAATGAAAACAACAAAAAGCAAGGGATGGGTATCGGTCCAGCACGCCTGGTAGAAGGATAATGGGCGGGGAGGAGGGCGGAAGGGAAGGGAGATGACCAGGGAGAGAAGGATGAGGATGATGATGTTGAGGAGGAGGAGGAGGAGGAGGAGGAGGAAGAGGAGGAGGAGGAGGGTACCAAGTGGAACACCTGAACCGCCCTGGAGTTCTCGTTATCAAATCTGACGTGCATCCCCAAGACCCGTCCCTATTCCCTCCTGCTCCATCTTCGCCTCCCTTTACTGCGCTCCCTGTCGGGGCTGGGGCAGTCATGCGGAGATGCATGGAGGAGGAGCAGGGCAGAATACTTGGCAGCACTCAAGCCTGTCGAGAAGTGGCCTGCCGGAGGAGCCCCGCGTGGATCCTCTGGCAGGCTGACGGGGGGGGGCGAGGCCTCAGTCCTCCGTGCGGGGCAGGGCTCCCTAAGAGTGTGATTTTCCTCCGGAGGCGCCCCAGACGCCGTGCGCGCTCCGGCAGCGGGCGCAATACAGGGGAGAGGACAGGGCAACGGAAAGCGGCACGGGCCCAACGCCGAGCCAAGAAATCTGCACGGACCTCCGAGAAATCGTGTTTGCACCCATCGGAGAACCGAAAGAGAACACATCAACCTTTAGGGGCCCCAGAGTTCGCAGAACACCAGGAATCTGGACTAGACCCTGGGCGCTTACTTGGAGCCTGTTCGTGCATCCGAATCTGGACCACCGTCTGAACAAAAAACACCTGGAGCCGAGTCCGCTTCCTTGGCGTAGAAGTGTCTTACCTCTGAGCAAAGATGTTTTTGTTTTTGTGTGTGTATGTGCGCCGCTTTTTTCTCGAGAAGAGCAGGGAGGAGGGATGCCCGGGTTAGAAGAAACAACTGCGTAAACATACACTTCTGGCGCTCCGCGCGGATTTCTTGGATCTGCGCTGGACTCGTTCATGTCTCGGGGAGGCTCATGGTGCGGGCTCGGGGATGGACAGAACCCCCTTTGGTAAAACGAGGTTCAGCGAAAACGACCTCGGGCCCAAACCTGGCGGGCGCAAGCCTGGAAAATGACGGCCCCGGCGCCCTCTCGAGAACCGAAAACGGACGATTCACTAATCGACGTGTCAGGGTGGCGGTTCTGCCCACCCCCGATGTAAGGACCCATGCGCCCCGCCCAGCACTCGTGCGGACATTCGGAAGTGATGAAGCGAAGCAACCTGTGGCGCTCCAGCAAGGAACTTGGCCTGTCCGCCGCTCGGGCCAGACGAGGGGCGGGGGTAGCGAATCCAGGGGAACGGGGAATGACATTGACATACGACAGGTTCGCGTCGTGTCGACCACGGCGTTGGTTCCTGACACCGCGGGGATCGTGCAAACTTGAACGATCGGCCCTTTCAAAAAGGCCAGATCGTTCAAGGATGGGCCGATTCTGGGCCACAGGCGGCGTTCAACCTTAAACGCCCGCGCTGGGGTCGCCGCTGGTCGACACGACACGAGCCTGCTGTAAGTATAAAAACTCGGAGGTCCGCGCGCTTTCTTCTTGGACCCGAGCTGGACCCCCTCCCTGGCGGGCGGAGCGCCCCAGAGGCGGCGCCAGAGGTGCCACCAGGTGGCCCCAGAGAAGATCCGAGAAATCTGCGCGGACCTCCGAGTTATGATGAGGATGTCATTGCTCGTTCCCCTGGGCGCCTCCGGGCGCCTTTCCTGGCTAGGGGGCAGAGCGAGGAGGAGGAGGAGGAGGAGGAGGAGGAGGAGGAGGAATCAGCTCGCGTGGCTAGCTTTCATGGGCGCCTCCGGGCGCCAGAGGTGCCCCCCGAATCGACGAGAGCCCCTTTCCTCCCCCTGCTCGCCCTGTTTCGCCCTCTCCTCCTCCTCTTCCTCCTCCTCGTCCTCCTCCTCCTCCTGCTTCTCCTCCTCCTTCTCCTCCTCCTCCTCCTTCTCCTTCTCCTCCTCCTCCTCCTCCTCCTCCTCCTCCTCCTGGGGCGCTCGTGCACCTCAGGCTTCGCAGAACGCCTGCGGATTCCAGGTGCCTGTCTGCGATGCCACAGTGAAGCAAGGCATCTCCACGTGGCATGGGCTGGCAGGCCATTCTCTTATCTTTATGGATGCCATGACCATGGGCACTCTAACAATCCTATCATTGAATTAAAGATGTGTTTAAACTGTGCAAAACGTGTTCTACCCGTGTTTCCAACATGTTCTTTTACATATCTAAAAGATTATTGGAACATATTGTAGGCATCGGGAAATTATTTGGCAGCATGCTTCCTCTCCACTAATCGGCTTCTACAATCTTAGCTGACATTGCTCCCAAAAAACGCCCGAACACGCTGCCTGGCAATCTCCCAGGCAACCGACGCTGGGTCAGCCTTGACCGCAAGGCTGCCCCCCCTCCCCCACACACACACATGCGAAGGGGAAGCATACAGAGACTGGGCTTTCATCCTGAAGTCGTTGCAGAAACGTTGGGTTTCGCAGGAGAGCGGTGTCTTGACCTGGCAGGGGCACACGTAATCGCTCCTGTGGCCAAGTGCCACAGGCCAGGCGTGGAACGACTAGAAGCGCGAGAAGCAACTGGGCGCTCTAGGTCCAACCCCTCTGGGAACTTCAGACATGTATGTGCGATGTCTACCCTTCCCCCCTCCTCCTCCTCCTCGTCCTCCCCCTCCTCCTCCTCCTCCTCCTCCTCCTCCTCCTCCTCCTCCTCCTCCTCCTCCTCCTCCTCCTCCTCCTCCCCCTGTATGTCCTCTTGCTCTTCCTCCTTCCTGAGGCGAGAATCCCCTCGAAGGCCCAAAAGAGGACGAAGAGGAATGTCCGGTCAGGAACTTTTGCTTAGCGTGTCGCGGCGGCGGCCCAGGCGACACGCCATGCCCTCATGACCTGCAGGCGGATGGCGTGTCGCCCCGCTCCGGTGGGCGGAAGGCTGGCAAAAGCTCGGGACGTTGACTCTTGGGGACATGGACGTGGTTAGCGTGCCGCGCCGAGGCGTGGTGGGCCAGAACCCGAGGCAAGACACGCTAAACCAAAGTTTTTGGCCGTGCTGTGATGCCTAGTGGTTCCCAGGACGTTGATCATTGTACGATGAACAAGTCCGAGGCCTCGTCTTCGCATGATGCACAATCGCTGTCGGGTCTGGCTGGCCTTGTTCCTGCCTGGCACCCCTATGTTTGCTGCACAATCGAGATCAGACTCAAGCAGGCCGTGAGACTGCACCACTACTAGTGGCTGCTGCTGCTGATTGGCCGTGTAGGAGGCAGCGGAAGGGACGGCCTCGTTAGCCTCCTTTGCGTCCTTCCCTCAGCCAGGTTCGTACCACCAGGGGCTGGCACCACCACGGTCGTGACAAAACGCCGTGGCCCATGGGATCCCCCCTTTGGGGCACACATGCAGCGTCGGCATTCCTGTGCGGCGTCTCGGGAACATGCCCATAGAGATAAGAGTCTGAGCTGCTCATGATACGTCTTTCCGCCCCTGGAACCTTCACACATACCACGCGTCATTATTCCAGGTGCCATGCAGGACGAACGCTCCGCAGAGGGAACACGCATGCGTTGGTCCATGCAGTTCCTCTGAGTGTGCAAACCAATGCATGTTCATCCGTCTTTCTAAGCTACCCCAGAACCGCGGCTGCAAGACTGGCCCCAAGAGGGGGAGGGGGGGAGGATGGACGAGCGATGATGCCGACGACGGCAATCACGTCGCCCATAAGCGTGATGACACTGTTGAGGATGATGATGATGACGATGACGATGACGATGACGATGACTACGATGATGATTACGATTATGATGCTGATGGTGATGGTAATGACGATGACTATGATGATGCTGATGCTGATGATGATGGTGGTGATGGGACGATGATGATGGCGATGATGCTGCTGCTGATGATGCTGATGATCATGATGCTGCTGACGATGATGACAATGCCGATGATGGTGGTGATGCTGCTGATGATGATTCTGATGTTGTTGGTGACGAAAACCATGCTAATGCTGATGACGATGATGATGCTAACGATAATGGTGATCATGATGCTGATGCTGCTGATGATGACAATGATAATGTTCATGTTGTTGATGATGATGATGCTGCTGCTGATGATGATGATGATGATGATGATGATGATGATATGATGATGCTGACGATGATGCTGATGATGCCGATGATGATGATGATGGTGATGATGATGATGATGATGATGTTGATGCTTATGATGAGGATGATGAGGAGGTGGAGGAGGAGATGGATAATGATGATGAGGATAATGATAACGATGGTGACGGGGCTGAGAAGGACGAGGACGATAACGAGGACGGCGACGACGACGCCGAGGCGGAGGCGGAGGAGGCGGGGGAGGAAGAGGAGGCGGAGGAGGAGGAGGAAGAAGGCTCCTACTCGCTCCTCCTCTTTCGCCACCTCCCCTGCTCCTCGTCTTCCACCGCCTCCCCCCCCCTCCCCCGCCACTCCCCTCGGCTACACGCAAAAGTGACCCTGGGTAAGAATGACCTTTGGTGCGCGGCTTTTTGGGGGCCGCGGGGGACCAAACCCGGGCGCGCAAGGCGCTGCTCCTGCTTCGTTTTCAGCCATCTGGGGACGGGACCCACCTGTGCCCGCACTAAAGGTCACTCCGGCGAAAGGTCACTCTTACGTCTAGTCGATCCCCGCCCCCCCCCCACACGTCGGCGACAGCGGCCGCTGCCGCCGCTGGCCACGCCGGGCCTCCGCCAAGGACACCGGCGCGGAGAAGTCCGCCTCGAGCTCCTCGCCCCGCCAGGGGCCCCGCCCAGCCCCCCGGCCTGGCGCGGTCCCCAGGCCCCCCCCCCCTCCTCGGAGGGAGTGCTCCTCCCCGCCCACCCCTCCTCCAGAGGGAAGGGGCGTTTTTTTTGGGGGGGGAGGGGGGGGGGGGGTACTCTTGTCTTTTGAATATG